CAGACTGTAGTCGGGCGGTAGACAGGACGGCGGGGGCGGGGGGCAGCGGGCAGGGCAGCGGGCGCGGTGCGGGGCCGGGCGAGGTTGGGCGCAAGGCGACGGGCGCGCACGGCGTCCTTGGCGCTGCCCCAGGCCCAGGTGCGCCATCTCGCAGAGGTTCAGCAGCAGGCAGAGGCAGCTGATCACGTACATGACCAGCAGGAAGACCCGTCTTCTCCGTGGGCCGCGACACGAAGCAGTCGACGACGTGCGGGCAGGGCCGGCGGCTGCACGGGAAGAAAGGCGGCACCTCGAAGCCGTACAGAAGGTACTGGCCCACCAGAAAGGCCACCTCGAAGGCGGCCCGCGCCACCAGCTGGGCCACGTACACGCGCATCAGGCCCTCGCGCTGGATACGCCGCCGCCCGTCATGCGGCCCGTTGGGGCTCGGGGTCCCCGCCGCCTTGGCGTCCGCACCGAGGCCCTTGGCCGCGCTCGCGTCCTCCACCTCGTCCTCCGCGCCCAGGCCTTCTGCCACCCCTGGCTCCTCCTCTTCCTCGCCCAGGCTCAGCATGGGCTCCTCCTCTCCCAGGTCGATGGGCTCGGGCCAGGTGGGGTGGGACGACGGGGGCAGCGGTAGGGGCGCGCGGGGCCCCCGCTTGCGGCGCGGGGCACGGCGGCGCTCGTGCTTGGCAGCGCGAGCCAGGCGGTGCACGGCGTAGCCCAGGTACATGACCGAGGGCGTGGAGATGACCACGATCTGGAAGACCCAGAAGCGCACGTGGGACAGGGGCGCGAAGGCGTCATAGCAGACATTGTCGCAGCCCGGCTGCCTGGTGTTACATGTGAACTTGGTCTGCTCATCCGAGTAAATGGACTCGCCGCCGACGGCCGTGAGCACGATCCGGAAGACCACCAGCACCGTGAGCCACACCTTGCCCACGAACGTGGAGTGGTGGTGGATCTCCTCCAGCAGCCGCGTCAGGAAGCTCCAGCTCATGTTGGTCATAGGGGCGGGGGGCGGGACCTGTGGGCCACAGCAGAGCTCAACCCGGGGTGGGAAAGAGGAGGGCTGAGGGGGTGTGGGGATGTGGGTTGGCAGGACCTGAGGACTCAAAGGGGAGCTCAACCCTGGGTGGGGCACTAGAGCTAAACCCATGGCCAGGAGGAGCACTGGGGCAGGAGTCCTGGCGCTGGAGCCAGGGCCCCAGAGGGCAACTCAGCTGCCTTCCGCTGAAGGAACAGCCCCTCCAGGAGCTCCGCTCCCACCCCTTGCCTCTGCCCCTGGGGTGTGTACACAGGGAGGTGGGGCCTGGGTTGGCAAAGGACAGACCCCATGCAGATGGACAACAGGCTGTGTTGCTCCCCACTCACCCCTGCTAACCCCGGGTCCCAGTGGCCTGGAGTGCAGCCAGCCCCTCCTGCTCTCCCCAGGAAAGCTTGGTTCTGTGCAAGCCTCTCCCATCCCTCACCTCTGGGAACCCCACCCTAGGCCCTGAGAGCCACAGGGAGTCAACTAGGTGAGCCAACTTCATGGGGTCGCCTAGAAATCAGAGGCCAGCCTCACTCAGAGTGTGGGGGCCGCACAGCCTCAACCCTCACGCACGCTTGGCCCCCACCCCCCTCAGCCCCCAGCAGCACCTAGCTGCATGAAGTCCTTTTCCCAGCACGGGAGGGGGGCCCCAGCTCCCCAGTGACTCACTCAGTCTGATCTCCCATCCCCCACACATTCTGCAGCTTCATGGGCCCCTAGGCTCCCAGCAGCTCACCCCTCCCCAACCCACACCCTCACAGGGGAATCTGGTCCCTCTGCCTCTGCAAAGGACCCCCAGGCTCCTTCATGCCCTCCCCTCTGGTCCAGATGCATCAGGGGCTGCTGCCCAACTCTCCGGCTGCTCCTCCCTCTCGTGGGTGCCCTCATGTCCTCTGCAGTCATAGTGGGGAAATCCCAGCTGTAAGAGGGTGGGGTGGGGAGTGGATTAGGCCAGGCATCTGTGCAGATGGAACCATGTCCATTGAGGCACCTGTGACACTCAGAACAGCCATAGGCCACTCACCACATCCCAGACCAATGCCCCTTTCAGGCCAGCTGATCCCTGGGTGGGCCTGTGCCCAAGAGAAGAGCCTCTTTGGGGAGGGCCACACAACCCCAACTCCCAACACCCACCTTCCCCACAGCCAAGGCCAGTACCTGCTCCCAACACCCACCTTCCCCACAGCCAAGGCCAGTACCTGCTCCCAACACCCACCTTCCCCACAGCCAAGGCCAGTACCTGCTCCTGGATAGTCTGGGAAAGGAGACCCCTGAGTGCCCAACTCTTCTGGCCCTCCCTCCTAGAACAGGCCTGGAGGCAGTGTGGGCAGGTGCGGGATGGAGAGGCAGAGACAAGCCGGGCTCCGGGCCCTCTTTATGCAGCTGGGCCTCTCCCTGGCAGGAGGTGGGGAGGAAGAGGGGGTAGTCAGGGTTCCTGGGGAAATGACCCCGCTTCCTTACATCTGTGTGCACGGCCCACCTCAGAGCTACACATAATGCAATGCAAACACAGACACACACTCACGTTCACTCAGACACACACACACGCATACAGGTGTACAACTATCCTCACAGACAACATGCACTCTCACATGAGTACACATACAAAAAAATACCCCGTGTACGCACATTCAAACACTCAGACATGTGCATACAGGTGTACAATGAACTCACAGATATGCACACTCAAGTGTGCACACACTTATAAACACTCATGCACACAGTCACCACACACACATACAAATACTCAGACACATGTGTATGCAGATATGCACACTCCCATGTGCACATACACTCGTGCGTGTGCAGACTCAGTGTAGGCCAGTCCCTTCAGGACCACCTTCTCCCTCACTCTGCCTCAGGCAGAGATTCACAGGGGATCCCTCAGGCCTGAGACTGGCTGTTATTCATGACAACCTCTGCTCTTCCAGGACCTGTTCCACCCTGACCTGACACATCACAGGAGGCTAAGGCCCACACCACCGCCCAGGAACCAGAAAGGGATGGCAGAACAGCCCCCACTTCTTTTCTCTCTCCCAAGACATGGGGGGAGTCTCAGGGTGCAGACAGACCTGACTTGTGCTTTGGGGGTCAGTATTAACTGGTTCTCTGGGGAAACCCTTTATGTCTTATTTGGCAATCCCTGTGGTGGAAATACTCCCCTCACACCCATGACCAACTCATGAGATGTGGCAGGGGGATCTTGAGACCAGTTCTAGCTTGGCACAGGTCAGACTGCCCTGGGGGGTAAGGGATGATGCAGTCAGGGCCACAGAGACCAGATGTATAGAGAAGAAGAGGGCAGATGAGAGATGAGAGTGGTCAGTTGAAGGGCCATCCTGAGCAGTAGGAGGGGAAGGAGTGAACCTCTCTGTTCTCCCAGTGCCATGGGGATCTCAGACAGCCTTCGGGCAGGGGTAGAGGCTCTGGCTCTTCAGACCAGGTGCACGTCCATGTGCTCATACATGTGTGTGCAGGACCTGTGTCACACATGCAGTCGGTGGTCGTTCCACAGTCGGGGGCTGGGATTGCTCAGCTCTAGCCTGGAGGACCCCTGGCCTGGTCTTAGTGACATGCACAGGAGTCCTCAAATCCACACCTTCAGCTGGTGCTGCCTCCTGACCTGGCACATGGATCCAAAGGACCAGTCCCAGCACTTTAGGAAATTTGCCTGGAGCATCTGGTGGTGCCAGAGTAAGAAAGTGCTAGCACGAGCCCCCCACCAACACCCCCCACCACATACACACTGCGGAGGGGTATGGCAAAGCAATACAGTAATTCATGGAAGGAACTCCCCATGGGTGTCCGAAACCAGATCAATTTGGGCAATAGAGTGGATAAAGTAGTAATATAGGTTGAGTTATAGATTATTACCAAGGTATAAAATAAACGAGTCCCTACTGATACAAATTATTGAATAAATAACTAAATGGGGAAAAGGAAATTCTAAATAGATTTTGCAGCCACTGTACCCTCCAGGAGGGGAGTCCAACCCCCCATTCCTCAAGGGCAACTTCCCAGAGTGCACAACAGAAAGGGAGAGCACAACCTGTAAATGTCACCGCAGGTGGGGACCAGAACCCACCTGCAGTGAAGGGCCAGGTTGAGAGCATGGGCCTTGCAATGGTGTGAGAAGGGCCTGCCCTTGCTGCCTCCCCCACAAAACCTCAGCCCAGGCGACCATGAGACAACAGGAGACAAGTTCCAGGAGGGGCTCCTACATCATACCCAACCATCAACACAGCCAAGGGCATCAGGCAAGGGGCTCTGAGGGACCAAGGGGACCCAAGATATGCATGCCCAGTGGGGCCCTGGGGACAGAGAAGTGAGGACCACATACCTCATGGGAATAACCGGGAACATCAAAGGTCATGGGAGCCCTAGCCGATTTGGCTCAGTGGATAGAGTGCTGGCCTGCAGACCAAAGGGTCCTGGGTTCGATTCCGGTCAGGTCAAGGGCACATACCTTGGTTGCAGGCTCCTCCTGGCCCGGGTCCCAGTCGGGGCTCATGCTTGAGGCAACCAATCGATGTGTTTTTCTCACATCGATATTTCTCTCTGTCTTTCTCTTCCACTCTCCCTTAAAAAAAAAAATCAATGGAAAAACATTCTCAGGTGAGGATTAATCAAAAATAATAATAAAAAGGTCATGGGAAACATGGGAAAGCACTGGTGTGGGAAAGTAGAGTGTTTGCCTGTGCACTGAAGGGTCACAAGTTCGATTCCCAGTCAAGGGCACATACCTGGGTTGCAGGTTCGAGCCCCCACTCTAGTCTGGACTTGTGTGGGAAGCGACCAATCAATGTGTCTCTCTCACACTGATGTTTCTCTCTCCCTCCCTCCCTCTCTCTTCCCTCCTTCCCTCCCCGTCTTCCCTCTCTCTAAAAAAAAATCAATGGAAAAAATATCCTCAGGTGAGGATTAACAAAAAAAAATTAAATTAAAACATTTTATTTTTAAAAATATATTTTATTGATTTTTTACAGAGAGGAAGGGAGAGGGATAGAGAGTTAGAAACATCGATGAGAAACATCAATCAGCTGCCTCCTGCACATCCCCTACTGGGGATTTGCCCGCAACCAAGGTGCCTGCCCTTGACCGGAATCGAACCTGGGACCCTTCTGCCCACAAGCTGATGCTTTATCCACTGAGCCAAACCAGGTAGGGCAAATTAAAACATTTCAAAAAGGTCATAGGAAACATGAGGAAATCTGAGGGAAGTGTGGGCTATAGTTTTGATTGTCCCATGGGGAATGGGCGTGGGGGCGTCACATGGACTTCTTGGTCTTTACAACTTCTTTATAAACCGCAACAATAGTTGCCGCCCTATCACTCTGAGCCCCCTCTCCCATCTTTTCTCCCTACGTGGCATATATTTGTCTGTCTGGAGACTGCAAGTTTGGAGTATGGACTTTGGCTGGTGACCTGTTCTGGGCTGCAGTGGGGTTATCAGTGCTGCTGGGAGGCTGCGGCCAGCAAGGGACCAGCTGGGCCAGCAGGAAGGGGGGTTACTGGCCCTTCAGGGATCCAGACCCTGGGGGTTTGCAGGGACCTTTGTTCACAGGGAATCTCACCCAAAACTCTATATCAGAGCAAGTGTAGATAAGAACTGCTCAGAGATCCAAGATGAGGTGTGTGTGTGTGTGTGTGTGTGTGTGTGTGTGTGTGTGTGTTGGGAGCGATGACTGCTGGGCCAATGTGAGCACATTGGGGTTCCCCATGACGGCTGGCTGGTCATCCCCACCAAGAGCCCGGAGGGAGGTGCCTGACTGTGGGCTTTAGGATGGCCTATCCTGAGACAGCTGGCTTACTACCCTCAGACCAGACCTGGAGAGTGGCCTCTGCAGTGGTGGGCAGCTGAGCTCCCCCTGCTTCACTTAACCGCACCCCAGATCTGAACAAAGGTTCTAGGAGGTGGGGGTGGGGAGGCAGGGCTGAGAGCCAGGACAGCCTAGCGCCATCCTGTAGTGCAGCAGGCCATGGCCTGGTCAGCAATTTCCTTCCCATCCCTGGCCACACTTCCTCCCAGCACCCCGTAGGGCCATGCGGGTGGGACTTTCCTCTGCTGAGGTGGGGCTGTGGGCAGGGCCCCAGTGCTCAGCTCGCCATGTGGCAGGGGGACCCTGCCCTTGGAACCTTCGGGCAGTGGAATGAGGAGTCTCAGGCAGCACTTTCCCCTCCATGAGGACATAGGGACCCTGCATGCACCTACCACTGATAGCCTTCATCCACAGGTGAGCACCCACGAATACCTCAAGATGGCTCTGCCCTGTGAGCCTGAGGCCTTAGCTGGAGCCCAGAGCTGGCTCCCACCTGTCCACCCACTGAGGGGACCTGGGGGGCACAGGCCTGGTGCTGCATGCCCACCTCCCAAACTTAGCTCTTCTCCCAGGTCTCCCCTTGTCAGCTCTATGGTGATCCCATGGGGTTCAGTCTTTCCAGGTCCCTCCCCAGGACACTTAATTCCCATCCTGGAGGTCCCAGTTGTATTTTGCCTAGACTTCCTGGGCAGCCAGGAACCCAAACCCCAGGCCTGGGGACCCTCTACCATAACTGCACAGCAGCTCCTATGCACACCACAGTCTACCCCCAACACCCACCCCCATCCCTACCCCCAGCAGCCTAAGGAGGGTTGCAGGCCCTGACAGATTGGGTCCCAGGGAGCCTGGGATCTCAGCCAAAGCCCTCATCCTCCCAGGGCCTTCAGGGCTGGCCTCTGGACTCTGACTCACACGTGTGCACACTCCCTCCACACCAGGAGGGAGAGGTGCCCTCACCATGCTCAGCAAATGCAGAGAGGTGAAGAGATACCTAGTTCTGGGGAGAGGGGGTACATCCCAGGGCTATGAGGTGCAGGTAGGAACCGGAGGGGGCAGAGACCCCATTGAGGACCCAGGAGCCCCTCTTAGGTGCAGTTGGAACTGGGAAGTGAGGGAGTTCCTCCTGAAAGGGTGGAGGTGTGGTGGGTGTGGGCCTGGGGAGTAAGTCATGGTGGCACAGCCCAAACAGCTCCAGCAGCCTGGCCTTTGGCCCTCCCCCCCACCCCCAGGGGCTGGCCCAGGTTAGAATGCAGAGCCCCTCACCCACCCCTGCAGGGTGCCCACACTCTCCACTCCTCCTAACCCCCTCACCGCCACCTCTCAAACTGCCCTGGGTAAAGCCACCGCAGCCAGCACACTGCCACCTTTCTCAACGCAGAACATGGGTCACTTTTTCTCTGCATTCCCCAACCCCTACCATGTCTACCTGGTCCCCCACAGCCCAGCACACCACAGGCCCTGAGCAGGCGTTGCTCTGCCCTGTGCAGCAGCCCTGACCACTCCTGGACCAGCTGCTGCCCCTTGCCAACTCCTGCTCACCATCCGTGTCTGGCAAAGACAACTCATCATTTCTGTGGCATATTGGGGGCACCTCCTGGAGGACATGCGCCTGTTCTACTCTGTTGGTCCCCCAGGCCCAGACCTGAGGACCTGGGACCGAAAAAGACTTAAGGAAAGCCCATCCCAGGCCATGAAGAGGCTGGCTGGTGCCAGGTCAGGTGTGGAGGGCAGGGAGGTGTACCCATCCTGGCTTGACTGCCCACATATAGGGGTGAGGCTCCCAGATTTCCCCCAGGCCTCCACAGCCTGAGGCTCCAGCCTCTGGACACACTGCAGCTGCCTGCCGTGGGCTGGTCAGTCCCACACAGCTTAAGGGTTCCCAGCTGCTGGGGGAGGTTCTGGGCACACACTCCTCTCCCTGCGGACCAGCTGGCCTGAGCAGCCTCCACCCTCAGGTCTTGCGATCCCAGAAGACCCTGCTGGCAGGATCTCCCTGGGCAGTGGGCTTGAGACAGATCCCCCAGAATGAAGGGACACCTGGCCAGGCCCAGCACCTGTGACCTCCTGGGGAATGCCATTTCAGGAGAGGCTAGACCAGGCCTGAAACCCTGGTCCAGAGGGGAGGGTGACACTGCTCAGCCCCAAAGGACACCCACAGCTGGTCCCCTAGACAGCACCCTACCTTTTTCAGGCCAGAAAATGCAAGTCCTCTGAGCCCTTCCACCTGCTGGCTGGTCAGACACTGGCCTCCAAGGGTGTACACCCGGCAGAATCCCTGCCCGATCCAGGGCCACCTCTCACCACCAAGCACAATGCAGGGGGGAGGGCCTTCAAGGGCCCTATTGTTCCCCGAAGGCCCCGGGTCTGAATCCCTGATTGTCCCTAGAATTGTATGGGGCCAAGAGAAGGAAGGGCCTCCCCCAGGCTGGGTGACAGTGCATTGGGAGGCAGCCAGCCTTACCTGCCCAGCACCCCTCTGTCCACTGTCCCATGTTCAGGCCCAACTCCTGCCAGGCCTTCTCTGTGCATCTGAGGGTATGGACAATGCCCAGCCTCCCCTACTTTTTCTGCCTCCTCCAGGTCTGTGTCCACTGTTTGTCTTGGTCCCACTGCAAGAATATGGCCTAGGCATGGACCACTATACCACAGGCCACCACAGCTGCCCTGACCCGACATGAGTGGCAAGGGAGGTGTCTTCTCAGCCTCCAGGGAGCCTGTAACCTCAACAGAGGCCCCCAGGTGTCCTTCCAGAGCTGAACTCTCCCAGACCATCAGGCCAACTGGGCTCAGTAGACTGAGGGAGTGTATGACACAGAGGCCTCCAGGACGCAGGGATCCAGCCCTTGTAGTCTCAGACCCCATCACCACCCCCACCTGGTTCAGGGACCAGGAGGGTAGCTGGGGCAGGATGAGCCCCCGGGGCCTTCTCCTCCCAGCCTCATTGCCTTGGGGAGACAGTGGGAGAGATGTGTACTCCCTGCCTCAGGGCAGAAAACAGCCCAGCCTTGGGGGACCCCTTAGTGCCCCTGTGCAGGGCACCCCTGCTGGTCTCCGAGGTGTGGAGCTGGGGCATGTGGAGAACCTGGGGAAGTAGTGTGAAATCGGGGAGCAACCCCACTGGCCGCTAGCCCAGAGTAGCCGATATGGGGTAGAACCTGCTGCAAGCAGCCCTGTTAGAGCTGGGTGTTTAGGAGGGGGGCTGCCGGAGTGGGGGTCCAGCATGAAGGATTCTGGGCCAGGGCGGCAATCCATGGACTCAAGGACACTCTAACCAGCAGCTCTTTATTAGGATGCGGGCCCAGATCCCACAGGAGAGTGGGACTGATCAGGGGCACCCAGAAAGAGGCTTGCAGAGCCAACCTTGTCAGGGGCACCCTGGCCACCAGGGTGGGTGCAGGGTCCTGTCCAGGGAGGACACAGCCGTTGGCATCCTCAGGAGCAGCCAGTCCCTTGGGCCTTCTTGATTTCCTGCAGGAGAGAGAAAGAGGGGCTTGCCCTGGATCCCAAGTCCGCTGTCCCAAGCCCTTTCCTGCACAGAGATCTATCCCTTGCCCCTGGCAGAGCCCACCTCCGAGAGTGCCTCCTTCAGGCTCCAGTAGGCCTTGTCCAGGTTGTCGTTGACAATGATCAGGTCAAACAGACCAGGTTCCTTGCCTGAGAAGGGGGGAGAGGGGGTACAGGGCCCGTGGAGGATCAGTGAGGGGAGGGGGCTGTGGATGACAGCTCTTGCCCCTGCCTCCCACCTCTGGCAGATGAGTCGCCTGCTATTGGGGAGGGTGGGGGACACTGGCTGCACCCACACTCACTGCTTTCCATGTCCGCCTGTGCAGTGGCCAACCGTTTGGCCAGGCTCTCCTCTGTCTCTGTGTTCCGCTGCCGCAACCTCTGTTCCTGAGGTGCCTAAGGAGGGTCAGAGCCTGCAGGGCAGCCTTAGCCCCTCCTCCACCCCTCCCGCGCCTGGCTCCCCACCCCCACCAGGACTTCCAGCGAGGGTGGCTGCACAAAGATGTAGATGGGCCTCAGGTCGGTCTTCTTTAAGTTCCGCACACCCTGGAGGTCCACGTCCAGCACGCAGATCCGGTTCATGGCCTGCACCACTCGTACAGCCGCTTTGCTGGGAGGCAGGAGGGGAGGGGCCCTTCAGCAGGGATCCTTGGGTCCCAGCACCCAGACCATCTCCACTGCCATTCCCTGGGGTTCTGCCTCCCCCATTCCCTGCTCTGGGAGCCTGAAGGGGCCATCAGCATCTGCTCCCCTTTCCAGAAGCACTCCCTCAGTAACCCTTTCACACCGGGCCATCTGCTAGGCTGGGGGCAGCAGTGGGGAGGGGCAGGAAGTCCCTGGCTGTCACCACTGGGCTCAGGGCTCCCAGGTGCCCACCATCTAAGGGTAGTAGCAGCCCCAGTGATCCCTGTTGGGGGCCAACTGCCCCTGCCAGCTGCACCTGGGGTGGAGCATGGCAGTCACAGGGGGACTCAGGTACAGGCTGCACATAGCAAGCCTGGACCCGCCTCTGCAATGATACTGCTCTGGATGTGTGGGAGGTGGACAGCTGTTGCTGGGCTGGGGACTCTCCCAGGCTGCCCTAATTGTTGGAGGGAAGAGGAGGGGGGCTGAAGTGCAGCCCACAGAACTCTGAGACCCAGGTCCTCTGAGTCTTCACTGCACACCAGCCCATCACTGGCTCCCCGTTCCCACAGGGGCCTGGCCAGGTGGGGTAGAGAGGGGACAGGAGGGGGCAGCCTAGAAAGCTCAGGCTTCCCTTCGATCTTGATCCCTGGAAGGGCTGGGTCCCTCACCCTGACAGCCCATAGGGAGAAGCCCTTGCCTGGGCTGCCCACTCCAAGTTCCCAGGAGGTTTGGAGGTTGCTGAATGTGACTCACCTAGTCCCATACAGGTTCCCCGAGAACTCGGCATGCTCGATGAAGTCCCCGGCAGCAATGTCCCGCTGCATCACCTCCCTGGTCACAAAGTAGTAATCTACAAAGAGCAGGAGCTGTTGAAGCTGTCCACAGCCAGGCCACATCTGCCCATGCAACCACATGAGCAGAACCAGCTTCTGTTCTGGGCCTGTCTGCCCATCTGTCCATCCACACCTAGAGTGTTCCAGTCACTGGGCAGGGAGATATCTGAGGAAGGGACAGACACCACCTCTCACACCGTTCTCACTGAAGGGACCTGGAGAACGCCAGCTTCTACAGGAGAGGTTGGGGACCTGGAGACTGCTGGTTTCTGGAAGGAGTTTTGGGGGGGTCCTGGTGACTACCAACTTCAGGGGGGAGGTTGAGGAACTTCAGTGCTCTGCCTCAGGAAGGTACAAACACCCTACTAAGGTTGTGATGTCAGAGAACCCTAAAGGGTGTGCATGGCTGACCCCAGCTATACTGCCATGTGTAATGCAGTGCACAAGCAGGGATCAGTGCCCCACAACTGCCTGGTGTTGGGATCAGAGCCCTGCCGTGGACAGCTGGTGTCAGCATGAGATTTGATGCCTATTATCCAACTAGGCCTGCCCACCCACCCACCCTGAAGGGCCCCCATCAGATGGGGAGAATGAGGCCTCATGCATCACCCTGACAAGTGTGTGTGTGTGGCCTCCAGACCTGTACTGGGGCACTGAGTAGCAGGGCCAGCTTACCTTTGCCATTCTCCTCTCCAGGCCTCGGGTCCCTCGTGGTGTCTAGGAACAAGCATCTGTGACCCATCTGGAACATCACATCCAGAGCCCACACAACCCATCCCAGGGCCTTCCTCAGCCTATGTGGGGGACTTCAGGGGGGGTCAGCGTATGGGCAAATCCCCTGTGTGAGAGAGGGTTCTTGGGGGTGTTAGCAGTGTGTTAGCAGTGTGGGCAAGTCCCTATATATGTGGATCAGCAGGGCCCCACAAACCCCCTAGGACCTCACGGGACACCACGGGACACGCTGAATCCGAAGATGCTGCCATGCTCCTGCAGAAGTCTCTTGAGCAGGGTGCTCTTTCCGGCCCCAGAAGGTCCACTCAGGACAACAGGGCCTTGGTCCTGACAATCCCTGTGGGTGAGTGGGAGCAGATATCAGCAGGGCCTGAGGGACCCCAGT